TTTTATCTTTTTTTTGGCATTATCTTTTCCAAAACATTTTCTTTCTACTTGGGCCCTTAGTATCAGCTTCTCATTCCCCCCCTACTTCTTCCTCCCTCCCTCATGAACCCTTGATAATTTATAAATTATTATTTTTTTATATCTTACACTGACCGATGTTTCCCTTCACCCACTTTTCTGTTGTCTGTTCTCCTGTGAGGGGGTTATATGTAGATCATTGTGATCAGTTCCCCCTCACTTCCCCCACCTTCCCTTTCCCCTCCTGGTATGGCTACCTCCATATTGGTCCTAGGGGTTTATCGGTCCTGGATTCCCTGTGTTTCCAGTTCCTATCTGTACCTGTGCACATGTACATGCTCTGGTCTAGCCGGATTTGTAAGGTAGAATTAGGATCATGATAGTGGGGGGGGGGGGGGTAAAGAGCTAGAGGAAAGTTGCATGTTTCATAGGTGCTATACTGCACCCTGACTGGCTCGTCTCCTTCCCACGACCATTGTGTAAGGGGATGCGGAGACTGTATTTTTTGACGGGAGTAGAAATCCTCATCTTTCTCCTGGGGAGCAGCTGGTGGTTTAGTTTCCACTCAAAAGGATTACAGGAAAAGCATCCCAATTTCTTGAGGAAGAATATCTACTGAAAGGCAGAAGGGTTTAAATCCCAACTCCAGCCTGAGACTGCGTGGCAATTTTAGGCACGCCACATAACCTCAGTAAGCCTCAGTTATGATTTGTTTGTCGTTTTGTTGTTGTTTTCATTTGTAAAATGAAGAGGGTAACAGTGATGACTTTGTGGGGCTGAGAGATGGTGAGCGGACAGCCTCATCACAGGGCCTGCCATAGACTAAGTGCTCAGTAGACTTTGGCTTAGTAGCTATTTAGCATGGCTTACTGAGTAGTCTACCACCACGTGGGTGATCTTAGGGAAGCAATTTTTAATTTCTCAAACCTTAATTTCCTTTTACACAAGATGAGGAGTACCTTAATTCCACGTTAAGGGCAGAGTATAAGCACCAGGTACATTTCTAACAACATTCTGCCCATGGCCACAGGTGATTCCCCCCACCCCCCCACCACACACCCCACCCCTCCGAGTTATTTCTAAGCCCTCATCAGAATCACCGTGCATGTCGTAATTCTACCAACAGTATCTTCAATGGCATCTAGGCTCTCACTATCAAACACATCAAAATTCTTCCTGCTCCAATCCATTACCTACTTCCAAAGCCATTTAGGTATTTGTTTGAACAGCACCCCTACTTCCTGGCACCAAATATTGTTTTAGATGCAGAGTGCTGCTGTCATGCAAGTACCTCACATTTTTGGCTCTGGAGACCAGGAATTTATTTTCCCACCATTCGGAAGCTGAAAGTCCAGATATCAGGTGAAGGCCGTAGGAGACCCTCCTTGTCTTTTTTATATGTTTATTTATTTGTTTGTTAATAACATTGGGTGACATTTGTTTTCTGACAGCTGTGGGTCTCTATCTAATCTGTTCTCTGTAAGAGAGCTCAGAAGGGACTAGGTTATTTATCCCCACCCCACCCACTGTCATAACCCCATTAGCAGAACGAGGGAGCACCCATTCCCACTTCATATTGCATTCACAGAAGAAGGCTTAGAAATCCAATATGCATTTGGGGGACACAGCACATAACAAGAGAATGAACACATATATCACTCCCCTCAATGTTCTACCACCTCTTAGAAGAGAATGATAAGGTTATAGGAATTATTTACATGAATAAAATTCCCCCAAACAGAAAAACAACCACTTTTAAATTGTGCTAAATAATTGCAAATTAGTACGGTTTCATTTGTGTAGTATTTCATTTTTCTCTCCTTCCTAAATTTCATTTATACCCAGAAGGACTTGTTTTGGGAGGGTAAGGAACTGGAGGAGGTGGAAGATCTTTTGCTTCCAGAGCTGTTCTCTCTCAAGGCACTAAGATCCGCTCTAAAAGGAGAGTCTTGTAAGTGGGTCAGAAGTGCCTGAGGTGAAAGTGACTCACCTTTCACAAGGTGAAGGCTGGCTGTGTTGACTCTCCCTGGTACCCAGAGAGAGAAGTCACGTTACAGGCCTTTAAATAATCCCTACCGCTTTGCATACCCACTTTTGACTATGAAGTTACTGCAACAACTGACAATGACAATGGGAGGGAAAGGGATGATCCCTAACTTCCACAGTTCTTTCTCCTGGTGGGTTATGGTGAGATCCTCTGGTTGATTAGCTGACAATTAGTGGGGGGCACGGTGAGCCGAGTAAGTGATAAACTACCTTGTCCATGAAGACCACTTGGATGACTACTGAAGAGGTAATCATGAAGGCTATTAACAAGGCGAAACCTTTTTGCTGTTAAGCCCCCCAAGCCAGAGTGCTAACGCTTTTAAATGAAGTTCTTTTAGGGACGTGTTTTAGGGCACGAAAGAGACCCCATGACAAAGAAGACAACACAAAGCCACAGGCACTTCCTCTGGATGAGGGAGGCCAGTAGCACCGGGTACAGTGGCCTCTGAGAAGTCAAGCCAGGACTACAGGTAAATAGGGCACGAAACAAAGAGAACTGCCACAAACTCAGGATTGATGGCAGCTCAAGACACGACAATGACAGGTGGCATCACAGAAGCAGGATTAGGACCGTGATTGGGATCTATCACCTACCCTCAACAACAGAATGGCCTCTCTCTGAATACTGGCCTAGTTTCAGACATGCCACTGCCATGACCCCTGGCACTGCAAAAGTCAAAGGAAAGAATTCAGGGACCATCTGAGAAGAAGCGCACCAGAGGGTCACTCTCAAGAGCTCTGCCTGAACCGACAGAGGCCATGAGACAGAGAGCAAAGGAGCAGGGCCAAGACCAGGCTGAGGCAAGGAGACCGTAGGACAGAGCAGAACAACGCAGAGACTGAGACTGTGAGGCGGAGCAGCAGGCTGGCTTGCAGGGGACCACACGGCTGAGAGGCTGAGGAGCAGAGAGAGGCTGGCTGCTGGCTGAGAATGTGGCGTTGCTGTCAACCATTAGCTGGATCCTTAAAGTTTTCTAATCCTGGCTTGTGCTTAACTTGATATCTTCCCTAATAAACTCCCTTAATTGCCTTGAGTTCTGTATGGCCATTTCAATGGCGTGTTGAACCCAGCAGAGAAGGAACGTGTTGGGGTGAAATGACTACCGTCCTAATAGGTGAAGGAAGATTGGAGGATGGAGGCATGACTGATCTCTGCTTTGTGTCAATCCGCCTTGAGCTAGTGTGGAAATCGACTCTTCTCCCTGACACAGCCAGAGGAGGCCTCTGTGCTAGTGCCCACACAGTGTGTATGAGACACACTCATTTTCATCTCGCTTTCTTCACCTTACCTATCTTCGAGCCCTTTTTATACCCCATACACACAGCTGTACTTCACTCTTTTTAACCGCTGCAGAGTATTTCACTGTAGCACTGTGCCATCATTAATTCCACCGTTCCCTAACTGATTGAGGTAGTTAGTTTATTGTGCCAACCTGGCCAATAAACACAGGTGGGGTTCATTGAAGGGCAGAGGGATAAATGGCTTGGTGAGCCTCACCTTTCTAGTTCTCAGGTCTCTTGCTTTGTGATGGTCGCACCAGGGTGCAGTTGCCTTAGCCAGTTCCCTGCTTCAGCTGGCAAGGCTGACTTCCTGCACGACATCCCCAAGGAGAAGCCGCATGGACCTACCCCGATGCAGCCCTGGGTGCTGAAGCAGCCATGTGGAGACCCCTGCCAGTGCTGAGATGCTTACACATTCACTGATTCAGCTTTCCTCCTGCAGTCAGCGTCATTGTGTGTGTTTTGTGAGACGGAGGAGGACTTTGTGGATTGGTGTTGGACATATGGGTTAATGGGCTAATGCTGGACTTGTGGGCTTGGGCAGCACTGGGTTGGGTTGATGCACACTTAACCTTTATATAAAACTCTCTCTTGTACATGAGTTTCTGTGGATTTGTTTCTCTAAAGTACCCAGACTAACACACTGACAGACATTTAAGCTCCTCCCAGTCTAAGAATACACCTGTTTATGCAAATAATGCCCCCACGAAAAAGCCTTCTTTTATACCATTGTACACTTGCTTTAGTACATAGTTGGCACACGGCCTCACCATTTCTGGAAGCAAAACTGCCAGATCAAAGGGCATGCCCATTTAAGTACTCATCTACGTCATGCCAAATCAATCACCCATCCGGTATGAAGTTCAGTGTGTTTTCTACCACACCACCGAGGAGATAACCCTGCGGGGAGGCTGGTCATCAGTCTACACCTGCACAGACTTCTCCTGGTGGCCCCAGTTCATTGGCTCCTCTATTTACATCTGGCTGCCAGAGCTCCACCCCATCCACACACACAACCGTTCCTCGTTCTGTCTCTTGTTGAGTTCTCAGGGAGACCCGCGTCTCTGCTAACTTTTAGAGACTGCGCTTCATCTCAGGGAAACTCCTCTTAGCTCAAGTGAGTTTTCTTTTTCTGCCTTGGTCACCAGAGTCCAGGTTCTCCAACGTGGAAGAGCCACAGGAGAGGCCGCAGGAAGCAGCAGAGCCGAGGGTCAGTGTGTAAACACAGCTGCTCTGCCGCTCTTTAGCCATCGGACCCCTCTTCCTAGAGGTCAAGTCCAGGCCCTCAGGAAGACAGAGACGGCGAGTCCCTAGCAAACAGCTCCAGCAAAGCCACATCAGAGCGTCACAGAAGCAGGCCTGCAGGGGAAGCCCGTTCTTCCTGATGTTGTGGGAAAGCAGTATCAACAGAAAGGGAAAGCAGTGGAAAATATTCCCTAAATAAACCAGGGAATTGATGACCAAGTGGGCAGGGTTGGCTTGTAAGAGGACAGACTGCCCTGCCCGACCAAGGAATTTTTGGCAACTCCCATGTCATCTCAACCCACGATGGAAGTGGAAGGCGGGGCTAGCCAGGGTGACAGAAGAGGCGGGTTGGTGTTAGAGGGGAGCACAGCAACACAGCTTCACAGGGACAACAAACGATGTCCTCTAACCCTTTTCGTTGAAAGGTGTGTGCCAGGCGAGGAGGTAGTTGTCTGGCTTCAACTGCAAGCAGCCTTCAATTGTAGCTGGGTCTGGCCGACGCCCCGGGAGCTTCTCGACTATTTCCACATAGTGCTTCACCATCTCCCGGTACAGGTCATCCAGGCACCAGTAGTCTGAGCAGAGGACAGGAAAGGACAAAAATCAGGGCAAGCGGCAAGAGACGACGTCATCTCTTTCCCTCCCAGGAGCAGGGGGTCCTGGCTGGCTTCGAACCGACTGCTGCAGAAATGCCACGGTGCAGTCGTGACGATAGAAAAACTACAATAATGAGGCTTCTAAGTGAAAAGTTAAAAAAGATCGCACAACTCTGTTAAATATGTTTAAACTACTGAACTGCATGACATGTGAATTATAGGTCAAAAAATACTATGAAAAATATATTTTTCCAATAAAAGAGGGACATTTTCGGTGAGTCATCTTCTATAACCCTATCTACCTAGGTAAATTTAAAATAATGACAAATAATTCATTCCAGATTTCAGATATCATATTTGGTTAAGTGATTGCTAGTTGCAAATGAGAAGCTCGTAAAACAAAAGTCCCAAACTCCACAAGCCTCATTTTCCACGAATGGTTCCTTCTTTGCTACACGCAGGGGGAAAAAGGGCTAAAGTCTGCCTATTTCTCTCAAACAGACATTTCGACGATAAAGACATGATTTTCTTCGATTTCCAAATTCCTCCTCTCTTACTGGTGGCGTAACCAGTGAGGAAACAATGCACTGTATTACCAGGTATTTCCCAAAGCACATCCTGAAAAAATGGAAGGTGTTTTGGGAATAAGCTTTGACTTAAGTCTCTGAGAGATTCTGGGGAATCAGGGCTAACAGGAAATAACACATATCAAACACCTGCTGTATATACCTTGTTCCAACCCAAACCAAACTCACTGTCCTCAAGTTGGCTCTAACCCTCACGGGCAGGCTTGCGCGGCCCGGGGGTTTCTGCGACTGGAACTCTTCACGGAAGTAACGCCTCACCTTCCTCACAGGGAGTGGTTGCTGGTCTCACCGTTCGCAGTTCGATGCACCACTACTGCACCATGAGGGGATATATTTATATTATCTCATAGACATACACTGACTCCTGGAACCTCATGCGTTTCAGAGAAGACCTGTATGCAGGGTTTGCAGCGGTTACATGCCAAAGGGCTTCTTTCGGAAGTAGATCACCAGGCCTTTCATACATGGCACAGTTGGGAGATTCAAACTGCCAACCTTTTGATTAGTAGTCCAGTGCAAACAATTTGCACCATTCATGGACCTTACTATATTGACAGACACACGGCGGGGGTGGGGATGGGGGTGAGGACACACCGCACTTCATAATATTATTACAAGGAGGACTGCTAACCCCAAAGTCAGCAGTTCAAAACTACCAGCCACTCCTTGGGAGAGAGAGGAGGCTTTTTCCTCTTAGAAAGATTTATAGTCTGGAAAAGCCATGGGGGTAGTTCTACTCTGTCCAACATGAGTCAAAGTCAAATTTGCTTGTTGAATGAGCTTGCTTGTATGATAAAACTCAGAGAGGTTATATGAATTGCCTTGGATCAGAGCTGGTACATGGATTTTAATTTCCAAACTTGAGCATGTTTCTCACTAGGTTATTCTCTCAGGTGGTGGATAATGCCTACACATCCTGTAATGTTCGCATCTGCAGTGCCGGGTGATGTACCTCTCCCATCTCCTGGAAAGCCTCAGCTCCGTCAGCTGTCAGGGTTGATGGAGTGGGTGGTACTTGTGGCCTTTGCTGTAAAGGCAGCTAGAATGGCAAAGCTCTGAAGAAAGAACTTCATAATAAGCACTGAGGGTCTTAAAAATGCATACATCTCATTCACATAGGAGGAGAGGCCTCTCTCACAGAGAGGCTCTTGGGAAGACTCCGTCTCTTCTCGCTGCAGATGGTTACAGAGAGGGTAACTGAGTTTGGGGGTTAAGAGAGGGTATGGCATGACCTGGGTCTAGGAGGAATACATTTTGCTAGTAATAGGGAAAGGGATGCCAATGGGCAACACTGTGAGAATAAAATGAACCTCATGCGCATGTAAGACCTCTTGTTGCCACGCGTGAGCCATTGGGACTGTTTGTAAACGGATAAGTGTTCACCTCTCAGGCACCAGCACTATTAGCTAACAAACGCCTTCCTTCACTCAACCCCAGGTCAGGAAGCTTGATCTTCATGCTTCTTCTCAGAGAACAGCCCATTTGATTCTTGAACTGGATACTTCAAGAAGGTCTCTCTGGAACTGAATGTAGCCCCCTTTAAAGGGAGGGGAAAAATGACGAAGGGCCACCAAAAGTGTCGTCTTTTCAGGTCCACACTAAAGCCAGGAACAGATCCTTCTAAGCGACAGACTCTACAGAGCTATTGCCTGAGTTTCTCTATTTGATGACACAAGAACTCAAGTTGAATAAGAGAAAATGAGTTTTTGAAACTTCCTGTAAGTCTCCCAACGTGTCCTAACAACAACAATGACAGGGTTGATACCACTAAGGAGCCCCGGTGGCTTAGTGGTTACAAGTTGGGCTCTGATCTGCAAGGTCAGCAGTTTGAAACCACCAGCTGCTCCGGGGGTGGGGGTGGCGACTGGGTTTTCTGCTCCTGGAAACTCACAGGGGGTTTTCTGCTCCTGGAAACTCACAGGGGCAGGTCTACCCTGTTCTACAGAGCCCCTAGGAATTGACATTGACTCATTGGCAGTGAGTGTGATTTTTTTTTGGAGTGGGGGAGGAGGAGGAGCTATTGAAAAGAGCTTTGGTGGGACAGTGAGTTAAGCACGGGGCTGATAACCACAAGGCCAGTGTGTTGCACCACTCACTGCTCTCAGGAGAAAGACGAGGCTGCCCGAGGGAGCAGCTCTACTCTGGCCCAGAGGGTCAGCAGTGTGAGTCAATGGCAGTGGGCAGGGGAGCTATTAAAAGAGAAGCAAGTAAACAGTTGGCTTTGGGCAGGGCCCGTCTGCTTCTACGTAGATAAGCACACCTGAGTCCAGGGTATGGGTAGTTAGGTGGGCACTTTCTGTCCGTCCCTTTACTGTTGGGTAAATACCATCTTACATCCCTCTAACGCTTTCCTTTGACGGCAGGAACTGGAGCTGCTGACCCTTTTTTGCATAAGACATTTCATAAAGACACAACATGAACTAAATTGACAGGAGCCATCTCCCCGTAATCATGTACTCTGCACTTATATTATTGAACTTCATTCTCACATAATCTCGTGAGGATGGCAAGTCAGAGAGCACTGCTACAAAATCATAGAAACGTTTATTAGACAAAGCTATCAGAATGTATGTAAAGCTGTGGTTTGTCCACCTAGAACTCTCCACGTCTGCTTCCATCTCCCTTCCCCGGAGGTCTGTGCTCCTTCATGGACCCTACGTCAGAAAGGCAGTTTGGCACCCTCAAGGGACCTGTGGGCATCGTGTTCCTTTTCAACATTCTTTGAGTTTGGGGAACAAAAAAAGAAGTCTGAAGGGGCAAGGTCAAGGCTGCAGGGTGGGTGGGGTGAGGCTTCCCAACAAAAGTCTCACAGATGGCCCTTGTTATCCCCAAAGAAGGAGCGGGCCCACTGTTGCTATGGGAGAATACGTCCTCAGCACACTTGCCCTGGTAATTTCCTCACTTTTCTGAAAACGTCTTCCTAATAAGCCCTGGTGATCATCTTACAGCCTTTGAGAAAATCTGTTAAAATGATCCCTTTGTGTTCCCAAAATACATTTGACACAACCTTTTGAAAGGACCCCTCTGCCTTGAATTTAACTGGCTCAGCAGATACCCCCAGAAGCTACTACTTTGATTCGCTCTACTGCGGAGTTCATCTCCACTCATGGTGACCCCGTGGTTTACAGAACAGAACTGCCCCATAGGGTTTTCTTGGCTGTGATCCTGATCGAAGCAGACTGCCTGGCCTCTTTTCTGCGGTGCCCTTGGGTGGGTTCAAACTGCTAGCCCTGAAGTAAGAGGTTGAAAACTCATTGTATCACCCAAGGATCTAGTAAGGATGGTACTACTATCCTTAATGTGAATTTCAAAGTGGTTGAACAGGGTCACTAATGTTATTCGTTTGTGAGGGACCAATCAGGAAGTGGGAAGGCCAGGCTCCCAAGTCTGGACTACACATTCTCTGAAGATCAGTCTTTTATCTCCATTTGGACTCTTGAGTGACCGGTACAAGACCTGGCTCACCAGTGGGCCTCAATAAATGCTTGTTGAGTGACTTAATATTTACTGGCAATGTGAGTTCTTTGCTCATAAGCTATATATATACACTGTATTGCTTACCTACCTTGTAGAAGGTTGGACACTGTCATTTCCTAACTCAATCTCTGCTTCTGCACTCTTTTGAGGAGCCCTGGTGGCATAATGGTTACACGTTGGGCCGCTAACCTCAAGGTCAGCTATTCAAAACCACCAGCTGCTCTGTTGGAGAAAGACCAGGCTTTCTAGTCCTGTAAAAAGGTACAGTCTTGGAAACGCAGAGGGCTAGTTCCCCTCTGTCCGACAGGCATCAACTCGATGGCAGTGAGTTTGAGAGTGGGTTGGCTTGTTTGGTTTGGTGCTCATTTGAAAGACTAAAAGTAGGACACCGCACATTATCTCTACCTCTGGCATCGTGATCAGTCTAAGAGGGGAAGCACTCACAAGCCACCATTTGGAGGGTTAAGGGATTTATTACTAAAACCTATTTAAATCTCCCAAGTGGTAGTTTCACTTTGTGAACGCCAATCTCTGACTGGAAAACGTGCAGAAGGGTCATTACACATTGCAGTGTTTCAAATCCTTGCCTATCTCAGCGACCTGACGTAGTGAGCACTTGTGTAGAAGAATATTAGCTTTGGAAGCAGATTGCTTGAATTTCAATCCATTCTTTGTCACCTACAAGGCTTGTAGTGCTGAGCAAATTATTGAACATCTCCTGGAGTCATTCAGTTTCCTCATGTGAAAAATTGTGATACTAAGGTGTCTATGTGCCAAACTTCATAGCTGATGTGAGGATTAAATGATACCATACAAATTGCAGTTGAAAAGTACCAGGCATCCATACGAGCTATGTGAAAGTTAGCTCCATTATTAACATAGCTCAAAGATCTCTTCTAGGCTATAATTTGTTAGTTTAAGACAATAAAGGGGCTGTTTGAAAATTAAGCTTTAATACAAATTTGACTGAAAATTTCAGTGACCTGAAGGAAAATATTCTGCTTTAATTTTTATAACAAACCAAACCAAATTCCAAACTTAATGCCATGGAGTCAACTGTGACTCACAGTGACCCTGATGGAGTAGGAGAAGGATGAAGTTGTCTGCTTTCTGTAAAGATTTGCAGTCTCAGAAACCCGCAGGGGCCATTGTATCCTGTCCTAAAGGGTGACTCTGAATGAGTTAATTTTTATCAGAGCAATAGATTCAAGTAGGTAATATTCAATACATATTTACTCATGACCCACAAAATACAGGGCACAATAAGCTACACCAAATCCACAGCTGCCAAGTCAAGCCCAACTCAGAGTGACCCTGTACAGGGTTTCGGAGACTTTAAATTTTTACAGCAGCAAAGAGCCTCATCTTTCCCTCTGTTGGCAGTTGGTGGGTTCAAACTGCTGACCTTGAGATTAGTAGCCCATTGCCTAACGCGCAGCACCACCAAGACTCTTTAGCGGGCACTGTAGCAAACAATCAATCAGGCATCACTAATTCTACTTGTTAGCACTTATATGTTGAGATCACTTAGATGGAAATTAATTTTTCTCCTAGAAAATAATGCTGCAACGTGTTCATATAAGTTTTTTGAACACAGAAATGTCAGTGTGGGGATCTAGGTGGTATTGTACTGCATGTAGTGTATATAATGTATATGTATATGCTATGTAAGGGTGTCAGGGGGTTCACTGGCAGGACCCTCATCTTCCATGCAGACCCAGGTTTGATTCTCCTGTAGGCTACCATCCATCTGTCAGTGGAAGCTGGTGTGGGGCTCCGCTGAGGAGCGGGCTTCAGTGGAACGGGCAGACTAGGAAGAAAGGCCTGGGGATGCACTTCTGAAAGTCAGCGGAGAACCTTATGGGTCACAAGGGTCCAGGCACAGGAGTGGCACAGAACCAAGCAGAGCTTCCTTCCATTGCACATGTGACTGCTATGACTTGGGGCTGATGTAATGGCAAGTGACAATGTAATAGAGAGACACGAGTAAAGAGTTATAGTCTCAGAAACCCGCAGGGGCACTTCTACCCTGCCTTACAGGATCCCCATGGGTCAGAAGGGGCTTGATGACAGTGAGGGTTTGTTGTTGTTGTTGTTTTTATTACTGCAAAGAGGATTTAGATTTCTCCAACATGATCTTCCCAGCATGAAAATGCCCACTGCTTTCGGGTCCTATCCTAATAGGAACCACATAGCTGTAATGGCCAGAGTCTGTCAATTACCAGATACATAAACAATCTTAGTGAAGTGCCTTCAAAGACCAGGACAAACATGTAGGAGACTATGTGGATGCACATACATGTATGTGTACACATAGTATCCAAACATAGATGAAGTAAGGCTAAGAGTAAGGACAGAAACTGCACAGCTAAAACCAACAAAGCATGGTGAACAGCCAGGTGCACTGAGGCCTCAGGGGTGCAGCGGTGCTTTGGGGTAGGGTGGGGCAGTAAGTGCGAAGGGCTGGTAGAATACTGTTCGATACTGCCAAGCACTTTAAAGGCAGTCAAGAACCTGCCAGGACACTAGAAATGGGAAGGGCTTTGATCTTGTGATTGTGTGGGCCCAGACAGATGCTCCATCACGCCCAACAAGCGGTGACCTCTCACCCACGGCACTCTGTTTACCTAACAATGCTTTAAAATTTGATCATTCCTTTATACCTCAACACTTAAGAACTAGCCGCCAAGCGTATGGCATTCCTATACAGTGACCACTGGGGCTAATTGTAGCATGTCCACAGCAGAGAAATGGAATATGGGGATGTGAATGCATAAGTGAAAACTCCATGACTTAATAGTTGCCCCCACAGGTTAATTTTACAAAGCTATACTAGCAATATTTGCAGGTTTTTAAAAAAATTAGATCATTTTATTGGGGGCTTTTACAGCTCTTATCACAGTCCATCCATCCATCCATTGTGTCAAGCACATTTGTACTATGTTGCCATCATTTTTAAAGCATTTTCTTTCCACTTGAGCCCTTAATATCAGCTCCTCATTTTCCCTCCTTTCCCCACCCTCCCTCCCTCCCAAACCCTTGATAAATTATAATTTATTACTATTTTCATATCTTACATCGTCTGCTGTCTCCCTTCACCCACTTTTCTGTTGCTTGTCCCCCTGGGGGAGGGGGGTGTTATATGTCGATCCTTGAGATCGATGCCCCTTTCTCCCCCTACCTTCCCTTAATCCTCCTGGTATCTCTATTTTCATTATTGGTCCTGAGGGGTTTATCTGTCCTGGATTCCCAGTGTTGCGAGTGCTTACCTATTTGCAGGTTTTAAAAGGGCAAATGACTTGTGGGCTTTCAGCTGCTTAGTTATATACCAAGCTGTTTCTCCGATGGGAGAAAGCTGGGAATCATCCAATCAACCTGTCACTTCAACAACATCCCAAGAAACTTTGTTTCCCTCCCAAATCCAATCCATTAAAAACGTTTTCTTAGCCCATGTTTAAGTCCAAGCAACTTAAGGTTTGGGTGGGTGGTATTTAGATCCTGTTGTATTAGAATGGAGAAGGAATCCCCACATACTATTCTCTTAATGGGGCAAGCGGGGCTTATTTACATTCCAGTTTTCCGAAGCTGATGCAGACTGAGGTAGCTTCTCTCCTGAAGTGGACAGTAAGGTTCTCCCCGGCTGCTCCCCAAGCCCCACTTCAGCATGAAGGCTTCCCCTCCATTAGAGACAGAGGCTCTCTCTCAGTGCCACGGAGGTCGGCCTGGTTATCACTTTACCAATGAGAACCGAAAACTCGCCCTTTATAAAGATGAAATCTTAGCTCTCTGCAAAGTAAAATAATACTGTCGTCAAGAGATGCTCCAGGAGAAATATGATCTCCCACATATATAATTCGTTGCGGGACGCTGGTGAATATTAAATTGCCACTTTTGGCAGCGGCATCAGGTAACAACATCAGCTAAGAGATTGCATTGCTTTCTGAGCCCTGCGGGCTTATTTCAAGAGCTTTCGCCTTCTTTTCTCCCGTTGTTGCCGCTGCAGGGACCTTACCTGTGACGAGCGCCTCGGCCGTGGTTATGTGCATGAGGGTGTTGTCGCTCACTGGCCACTGGTCCGGGGAAAGCACAAGCTGGCCCAGTCCCCCCGTTTGTTTCAGCTCCTCCTGGATCTTTGTACCTAGGGCGCTGTTCTCCTTGCTGGCGTTTCTGTAACCAAGGGCATCGCCCACGCCGCCCAGCAGCATTGCAGCCTGAAATTTCTCCATCTTGCCAGAGGGCCACCAGGCCGGCCGGGTTCTTCCTGCGGTTAACAGCTGCTGAGCGTCCCCCGCCTTCGTTGCTTCAGTTTGTTGGCTGCCTTCAGTCCACCCTGCTGACATTTATACTGGTCATTGTATCACGGGCAGGGCCTTTCTCTAAATGGTCAGGCAGTCCTTTTCTGTCTCCGCAGGTGCCACCTCTTAAAGGACCAATGAGGAAAAACTTTCTGGATCCTAGCAGCTCTGAGCCATCCTTCTAAGGAACCAGGCTCCCGGAGAACCCCGGCGGACGGTCTCACTTTCCCTCCCCAATGAGAAGGCTGCTGCCTTTAAGTAATGCACCTAGACTAGAGCAACAGCAGTCCCTCCCAAGTACCAGATCCGCGCAGCGTTCTTGAAGAACTCTTTAGAGATGCATGCACCGTTAAAACAAGCAAACAACTGGAAGCAGGGTCTGTATGCCATACAATCGACCGATTAGAAGTGCACCTTTTGAGAGGTTTTTGCAAATGTATATGGTTGTGTCACCATCACCGTCAAAGTTCCCCATGCTGCTTTGTTGCCCAGGCCCCTCATTCTGCCTTTTCTAGAAATTTCAAATCAATAGAATGATCTATGTTTGTGGCTGTTAAGCTGCATTGAGTCCCTTCTGACGCAGGTCCCAGGTGCAACAGAGCCACATTGCCTGGTCCCGTGCCAGCCCCGCGATGGTACAATAGTATTTGATCTACAGCTGCGGCACTGAGTGTGTTAGAATTCACCAGTTACATGCAGTGGTTTTGTCTTAAGAAAAAAAAAAACTACTTTCCCCCTTTCTGATGATAAAACGTATTTGATGTAAAATTTGCAAGACACAGAAAAGTGTAAGGAGAAACCAACAGTGTGAAGACTGGTCTTTTAACTTGGTGTTTCACAAATGGCTCGCCAGTTAACTAGCAGGGGGCAGTGTCCTGAGAGGGGCAAAGTTACACAGACTTTCTGATGCCCTCTGCAAGGGTTGGATTTAACACCTTCCTGCCAATGTGTGAAGACCCCTCGGTGACAGCAGGAGGCTGGGACGCAGCACGGTGGAGGTATGAGGGGCAGAATGTCAAACGAGGGTCCTCATTAAAAAAACAGCCAGGAGTCCTCCCCCATAGCTAACTCCCAGGTCTGGAGGAGAGATAGACACAATCCAAATATTATCATGAGACTGCTTCCCTCTCTGCTCCCCAGCGGAACCTACTCTCTTCTCACACTCAGGAGAAGTACGAGGGAGTTAGAAAATGGACTTAAAAAACATAAAACCAAAATTGAAGTACACACTAAGGCACTCAGATCCATGTAAATGAACATGTTCTATCAAACCATCAATTAGTTAACAGTGAGTTTCTGGAATTTTATGCCCTCAAACTGACACCACGCCGATTCTGACTCACAGTGACCCTATAGAACAGAGTACGGCTGGTCCCTGTGGGCTTCAGAGACTTCAAATCTTTACAGGAGTAGAAAGTTCTCTTTCTCCCAAGGAGTGGCTGGTGGTTTTGAACTGATGACTTTGTGGTTAGCAACTCAACACGGGATGCTATGGGCATAATTTTGAGGCATCTGCAAATAAATGAATTGCTTACACATGGCTCTAGGTTGCTTATGTAGGGTACTTACCCAAACAAAACCACAAAAGCCAGAAACGTGGTCCGGCCATTTAGAGATATTTTAGGCCGAGCAGCAGTCTGGCAGAAATGTTGAGGGGAGTACCGCATATACTTGTGTGTAAGCCGAGTTTTCAGCACATTTTTAATGCAGTTTTTGTGGTAAAACTAGGTACCTCGGCTGACATTTGGATCAGCTTATACTCGAGTATATGTGGTATTATACCCCACCCGCCCCTTCCAGGTCTGATTTTTATCTGTGCCTATTTTAAGTGGGTAACACTCAAAAGGGATTCCACTGCACCTCCCACACTGTTATTTCCTAACTATAGTAGGTGAGGGGCAACTGCCATACTACACGGGGCTTTCAGAGTTTGTGGAGAAATGCAGTTGAAAGACACTGGAATTTTCCCACAAACTTGTTAAAGCCCCTTCATATTTGACCTATGTCAGCAAATTAAGATTAAGATTGTCAGAAGTTACGATATTAGTTCATCCCACAAATATTTGGTGATCCCCTATCTTCTGTGAAAATTGTGCACATAGCAACAGATAACAGGAAAACAAAACAAACTACCATTGCCTCCATGACGTCTGAAATCTATAGATTACAAATATATCAAGTTAAAAATAACACATACACTACACGACACTGAGAGAGAAAGAGATGACGATGTTTATTCTAGAAATTGCTGGTAAGCACTCTATGAAGGTACAGCGCAATGTGTATTCCTTTTATCGACCATGTTTATTTACTTGACTTCAACATATTCATAATGGTTATTACAGTTTATATGGGTATATAGTTCCTATCAACTCAAGGGACTCCTTAATATGTGAATTTATGAGATCTGTGAATTCTCACATGGACACACCATGCTTAACAGCAGCACTATGTGATATTGAAAAACAAAATGAAATAATTTAAACTGCTTTAGGACATGATTATTAGAGACAGTAGATTAGACATGACGGTTGAAGTTTCCACAGGAGCTTATGTACTGGTTACTATAAATAAACATTTCCTGTTTGTCCCATGACTAAAGACGGAGAGACTGACATCTAGTGGCAGGAAGCTCAGCAGCCAAGAATAGAATTTAAGAGGGTACCAACCACAACCACCGCACTGAGTAATTTATTTTCATGTTTCTGGAGATTTTACCATTTTAATAGCATGCATAATTTAAACATATATAAGGAAAAAACCCACTGTTTTTTGAATAGCCATTGTCCAATTACTAATATTTTGATAACGATTGCTAAACCATAGAGAATTTCAAATCTTAAGAGAAAAAAAGCAGAACTTCATAATTGTGAGTTCTAGATATACCTCTAAACATAACACTTGCACATCAAGAATCCATGAAGCCTAGAATGATGCTTTTACATTTTTGAAGTTTTCATTAAAGTGAGCATTTATTAAATAGAGGTTCTGAGAAACACCGGTTTTTGAAGGTCGTGATGACCTACTGCCCCAGGTCATTCAATGAGTGGCTTAGATCTTGCTTTTCAAACTCCAAGACCATGCCTCCTCCTCTAGTCCCTGCTGCCCATTTTGGGGAAGGTTTCCACACCAAAGCATCTATAGTTCACACCCTCGCCATGTACACTCAAACAGACATGCCTCGTGTTTTCAACAGATGTTTCCGAAAACACCAAATGAATTATCTTTGAGGGGAGTCAAATCAACTAGAAACATTAGGCATTCTTTCTGTTTTATAGACATCCTGGAGTGGAGCTCTTCTCCCTCACTTGCTCCTATGAAAGAATCGCCAATTTATCTGCGACATAAACTATATTGTACGTGGGCAGCAAGGCACACCGATAATGCGAAGAGCAACCGTGCTGCGACCTTCTTTCAAACATGAGGTAGGGCCAATAGAGACTGATTTCCAAAACTCTACAGAAGAGCTTTGTCAGAAGAGCAAGGGGACAGCCTAGGCCCTCTGGCCTTTGAACGACACACGTTTAGTCCTGTGCTGCGCTAGGGGGTTCATTGTGACAGAGAGGAGATCAGAAAATACAGATACCATGTTACAGACGCATCTCAGCTCTCACACACAAACAAGATGCAGGGCTGTGCCTCCGCCACACACAGCGATGTGTATTTTGGCTTTCACATTGTACAGTTTGTACAAAGGGTTAGATGCGAAACAGTATAGCTATTGCAGATATTTAAAAGAAACCAACTCACTTGAATTTTAAGTCTATAATTTATCATTCATAAAAGAAATTATTTTTCATGGAAAAATGTCTTTAAATGTCATATAATCTTTTCTTTTTTTTAAAAAAAAAAACATACCTTAAGAAACTTCATAGGAAGTTCAAATAACATTATTAAAAAGCAAAATAGGCCCACTGACTTGTAAACAGTTTAAGGTAAACCTTTCCTGAAATCGCGCACTGTGCAGACTGACATGGGGCATTAAAAATCATACAGTGATTTACAGACGGACGCCCACGAAAACGAAAACAGACACAAGTGGATTTGGCAAATCTAGATAGTCGAGAAGTCAAAAAATATAAATCTTGAATTCCTGGCACCAAGTTTTAAAAATGTTAGACTCCATAAGATCATCTTTAGGGCACATTTTTAACACCTGTGGCTTGTATAAAAATACAACATCCTCTTTGAGAACGCGACACTGTTTCCGCAGTGCAACGACAACTGCATCAGCGGTGTTTAGGTGTTTTGGTAACTGCTGTGTTCCTCTTATGTCAGGAAGTACACGGCATGCTCTTGAGTCCTGGCTCTGTGCACTTGTCCTGAAACGGGAAAACCACGCAGACATCTCCTGGAGCAACAGCTACGAGGATGCCCTTCTCCACACATTCCAAGCAGCCATCTTCCAAGGAATCTGCGGTGCTCACCAAACAGCGGCCCTGTTCCTTAAGCAGGATTGGATGGTTATTTGAGTTTCATGACTGGTTAAGGATGACTTCTGAACTCTGCGAGAAATGTACACAGAAACTGACCCAAATATGTCCTTTATAGGATGCAATTCACTTATCATCTGCATCCAGAGGGACTTTTCGCTCAGAAAGTGCTGCGCCTTCCTCCCGTGACTACTGGCCGGGCATACTCGACAAAATCATCTATAAGAACAGGCCATGCTCCTAAAGGAAACAAGAAAACAGAAACCAAAGTTTGAAAAGCAGTATTTTCATATTCATGCCACTTTTTCAAGCTCCAAAATGAATTCGGTTTATACAGCTCATGCTCCACAGTGCCAATTAGCTGCAGTTACTTATTTTTTCTCCTGCTAGGCAAATCAGGGTTAACAAATATTGATGTCTTGAAGGAGCCAGCCTGGTGATGCTGTGGGTTAGGTGTTGGTTGGGCTGCTAACCACAGGTGGTGGTTCAAATCCACCAGGCTGCTCCGCCAGAGAAACAAGGGGTGTCTGCTCCGTACACATTCAGTCTCCACAACCCTACTCTGTGGGTGGTAGAGAGTGTGTGTTGACAAATGCCTCATTCTTACGGCAATGACATATAGTAACGGATCATGCATGTTCTCATAGGGGCCTGACAACCCTCAGCCGGGGGCTGTCTTCTTGATTTACACCCAATGCAAAGCCCCATTTTTCCTTTTTCGGGATTGATAGGAGATCCCTATTAATGAAGTGAGTTCCATTATCCTCCCCACTTTACCAGAGGAGACGGCACCTGTATGTGATAGGGCTGGGAGTCGGACCAGAGATGGTCTGAATCCAGTCCCGACATTCTTTATCATTATTCGATGCCTAACGTCAGGAAATGTTAACATTCATGTCAGGTTTAAGAATTTCTAGCAACCATTCAAAATATTTTAACTCCATACCTTCTTCGTCGTAGTTAGACATATCATCTGCAATCATGTTTCCAAAATCTAGGAGAAGATTCCAAGTGTCCCTTGGGATTGATCTTTTGTGATGTTCCTAATACATAAATAAATAAAACACCCCCCCCCAACATATTTTAAAAAAACAACCACCACCAGAATTAGATAAGGACAAATATTCTAGTGGGTTGATTCTCTGCATGATATAATTTGAGCAGGAGTAAATGCAATAATGACATTGTTAAAACTTTTATAAAACTTTTCTACTATGCCAATATACATATATACAAAGTAGATTTATGTGAAAACAAATCAATAAGGATTTTTAATTAGGTTTAAGAAGGCTAACTTTATAGAATTCATAACACATAGGCACCTATTCTTAGACTACATGCCTAAAATATAGGTTACTGATCCCAATTAAAGAAGACAAGAGTACAAGATTAATGGGCACATGGTTATTATATTCTAGATACTTTAAAGATATATAGTACCTAATTTCATGAAATATAGTTTAAATGAATCTTCTACGATATAGCTTCAAAAATCTAAGCAACACTAAACCACACTAAACCACACCAAACCCACCGGTGTCCAGTTGATTCCAACCCATGGTGACCTCAGGTGTTTCAGAGTAGAACACACCTAAGATGGTCAGTAACCAATTCACCATACATACTCGCGAAAAAGCCGGGCTTTCTAGCACATTTAAAATGCAGTTTTTGTGGTAAAATTAGGTGCCTTGACTGATATTCAGGTCAGCTTATCCTCGAGTGTACACGGTATTAAAAATCATGATTTGGGTGAAACTTTAGAGAGCAAATGCTTTTCCATTCAATAACTCAGAGCCATGACACTGACTGCAGTTCCCACAATGCACAGCTCTCTCCCACCTCTTCCATTTACCCTTTGCATTCATTGGTCTTTTGGTCCCTTCCCAATTTGTATTCCTAGGCAAATGCTGCCCTTTTGACCTTGGAGAGTTGAGAGTGGGGACCTCCTTCCCAGTGTTCTTGTTCCCCCCAATAGGCCTGTAATTTCGCTGAAAGTTGAGCCATCTTGTACAGAGAAGAATATGGATGAGCCATCGTGTTGGGAGGTCCCCCTGCCTATATCACACCAATAAGCCTGGGAGCACCTGATCTTTTTTGTAACTGAGTTTCATTCCACATTTTTCTCTGACTCCACCCAGGGCCACCTATCAGGATCCTTGGTACCAGGAATCATCCGTTTCTT